GTGTGAGGGATTGCTGAAGAGTCAATGAGTCGATGCAATCAGTTGGTTTTCCTTAGATAGAAAACTTTGAATCAATCTGACTGGATGATCTGGTGAACTGGAAAGTGACCTGAGATGACATGATGTGAATTGGAGCTATAGAAATAAACTGAATTGAAATTGAATGACAGCAGCTGAAAACAGATCTAAAGGCCTCTTTTTACCCCATCCACCAAAATAAAAAAATCTAGCAGGCTAAAGTGATGTGATAACAGCAATAAACACAATAACTAATCTGTAAGGAAAACTTCAGTACCTGAGGGTGCGCCCACCCAGGCCAGCCCCAACACTCCATCATCAAAATCTCGGTCCGTGAAAACGTAAGCCAAGCAGTAATCGTCGTGATTCTGCTCAGAGTTTAGCTCCAGAAACTTCTCCACGCCGATGTTGGAGAAGCGGAACGGGTTGGATCTGTCTTTGTCGACGTCGGTGTTGTTTATCTGGTCAGGAGGAGATGAGCGGGTTCAAACGGAGAGCAAATACCACAGCAGTGCAGTAAAGATGAAAGTAGGGATACTGGCAGAGTAACTCACCCTGATCCGTTTCACCATGAAGCTGATGTTACGAATCCCCATGAAGTCTGTGCCCTGATAGATGGCATCAATGGCTTTGACATGGCTGGAGATCTGAAGGAGCAAAAAACAATATAAACCAGGTCTCCTTATGTCGGACATCAATGTATCCGAAACCAGAATTCCTTCCTCTTTTCCAGCCTGAACAGCAGCTCAAAACCTTTTTATATGTATTAGGGGTGGAACGGTTCACAAAATCCACGGTTTTCGGTTCGGTATATGTTGATTGTTACACTGGAAAAAAATCGAAATCTGGATAAGTTGTTTTTTCTTAAAATAAGTGTATTTGTTCTTGGATTTAGTAGGTAAAAGAGAGATTTTGCCAATGAAACAAGACAATTTAGATTTACAATAAGAAAACACAATTGCATTGTCTTATTTCAGGTGCATTTTATCTAATGTTCTTATTTTAAGAGCATCGTCTCTTGCTTCAGAGTCTAATAACCTGGTTACATAAGCCACCAGAGATGCTATATTTCCCCAGATAATGAAGTTAAAGCGCCACCTGGTGGTGTCCCACTTAGGCAGTATTTCCCAACCTGCTTTGACTTTTGTTTCCCTTAGAGCATTTTTTTCTTATCATGAGTTCCACAATAAGTGTTAATGATTGTTTAAAGGTGAAACGCACAGTCACCGATTATAAAATAAAAACTATTGTATTTGTAATTTGAGCATTTAATTCTTAGGTATTTTGATTAGGAACAAAATACTGAACAAAATTTAAAGTCAGACTGACTTAATTATTTTTACTTTGTTTTCATCCAGACACCTGAGCTCCGACAGCTTAGGGTGAAAACCCGCTGATCCCAGGCTGTTCTCTACATCCCGTCTGTTCCTCTGCTTGGTTTGGATTTTAGCTGAAGCTGAACTTGAACTTATGCCAGGGTTTATACAGGAATGAATAACTCTAATTTAATGCTTTTTAATGCTCTTAGAAATAATTTTAATGCCACCAACAGGTACCCGTCGACAGGCTGCAGCCACGCCCCGAATTCCTCGTTTCCAACCCCTTTTGTTGAAATTGACATTCTTCCCAATTATCTAGCTTTTCCACACAATTCCACACCAATATATCCTGATATGTCTGATGAAATAGTTTTTATAAAATTTTAAATGCCACAATAAACACATGTAATGAATTTTAATGCCAATTAAGGCCTTAATTTAAAAATAAAATTTAATGACTTTTGATGATTTTTAATGACCCGTGGAAACCCTGTATGAGAAAACTTAATTTTTGGTTAATAAAAGCTCATTTAATTGTTCCGTTAGGTCTTCAAAAAGCTAAACAGATCCCAGCCCTATTTTATTTTATACCCAAGAAATAAAATATTTTCACATACCCTTTGCAACGCACCGGTGGACCACTAGGGGTACGTGTACCCACGGTTGCGAAACACTGCTCTAATTCTAGGTTAACACCGGAAGCAGCAGGTTTACATCCATAGTCAATGATTGACACACATCAAGGTGCAGCAAAAGGTCCTGCAGCACGTTTTGAGCAGGAGCAGCGCGTCATGAGCTTCTGACGCATGCGATGCGCTTCAGAACCAGCAGCTGCTGGATTTGGAAAAATTTAACTTTAGCTGCTGGATGCGCCGCATCAACCAATCAGAGAAGCTGATCTGGGAGCTGGCAGGGAGTCAGACACAGCACTGCTGATGATCACTCCTCTGAAACAGTTTATTAACGCCTAAATTAACTTCAAATGTAGAAAGCTGCCAACTAAATATGTTTTATTTTATTATTCTGGTTCCTGCAGTTTGTATTACATTAACCTCTTACACCCTCAGGGGGNAAAAAATACTACTTTAATGACTTAATAATTTTTAATGACCCACAGATTTCCTGTAAAATAAATAAAGAAGGGATGAATCAGATGAATGCTGGCGAACAGGTGGATGGACTTACTCTTCTCCATGCAGCAGACGTGGCAGAGCTCCGTCTCATCCTTCCCTTCTTGGCTGGCACAGGTGCACGCCTCGAGCCCGTACTTCTCACAGATGGAGCCGGAGCAGCCCTGCGTAGGAGGAGCACGAGGACAGGCGGCGTTAGCGTTGCTATAACGACAGCCCCGGTGTGAAACCATCAGCTGCTCACCCCATTGAGGCAGACTTGAGTTTCTCCATGGCAGGCGGTGAAGTTGGCCTTTGGCTCTGAGGTGGGGCACTGAGCGCCTGTGCCGCTGCACATGCCCTGGTGGGCACACTCCGACTCCTCCCTGCACTTCTCGTTGCGACCTTTGTAGGTGCACTCACGCGTGCAACATGGACCCTGACTCGGGCTGGGGAGAAACGAACCACGAGTCAAAAAAGTGTGAGCTATGAAAGAAAAACAAAAACAAACCCAGCAGCGACATCTACCTGCAGACTTTGTTGGGCTTTAATTTACACTTGTCTTTGTCGGGCTGGTTTGCATCGTAGCAGCACTGGTCTCTGCACTGGTCACTGTAGCCACAATCACACTCCTCTCCGGGTTCTACCAGGCCATTACCACATATGGGCTGACCCGATTCTAAGAATAAAAATGAAGGACAAGGAAGTAAACGGAGGAACAGTGTCGACCAACAAGCTTCTGGTTCAAACCGGACCGAATAACTGAACTCAGACTCAGACAGGGTTAAGGTCAAGGCTTTGATGCTAGAGTTCCCAAAACTTGCCTTGTGTTTTGGTTCAATGTTCAAAAATCCAGGTTTTAAGTTTAGTCTAGATGTTTATTAAAAGAGCAGAAAACAGCCAGACTGTAGCCTCCTATGAGCTGGAAACCTAAACTTCCAGAGCTAATTGGCCACAGTAGAGCAGGTTTTACGTTAGCTTTGACCTTTAAGCACGGTGGTGACAGAATCATACTGAGGCTGTTTCTCAATCGGTGTACTTGTGCGTTTTCGTGAAACGTCTTCAGCTTTAGCCCTAGTAATGCTCCAATTCACAAGAACAAGAAGACAGAGAACAAAGTCCCCGGATGTTGTTCTGGCCCCTCCCTCTTTACCCAGCATCAGAGACGGCAAAAGTACTCACTTTCCGTACTTGAGTAAAAGTACAGATACTTGTGTTAAAAAATACTCTGGTAAAAGTGGAAGTACTGAT